TCCTTTTTTTTTTTTCCTTTTTTTTTTTTTTGGCTCTCTCCTTCAAACTTGTTGCAGTGTGTGTCCTTGGCCATACGTTTGGATTTTTTTTTTGTTTTTTTGTTTTTTTTTGTTTTTTTGGCTCTGACCATCCTTGATCTCTCTAAAATGTTGTACTCTTCATCAACTTTCGGTTTCGACTGCTTGGACAGAAGGAAGGAGAGGCGGAGGAGAACGATGCAAACCAGAGGAAGACTTCTTTGATCGGGGAATCGAGGGAAGAGGAGTGCAGTAATGAAGATAAGCAGGTGCGATTCGCGTCGTTGAGAAATATTTAGCACCTGCTTGGGTCCATTTGTGCTATATACATCCTGCGTGACAAGATGGATACACAGGCCTTGGATCCGTCTTTGTCATCCACTTGTGTGACAAATACGACCTCAATTTTGTCATAGGAGGGGTTTTGACGGTTGTCATAGGCCAACGTTCAGGGCCCATCGCAATAATTGTCAGCGCCTGGAGAGAGAGAGAGAGAGAGAGAGAGAGAGAGAGAGAGAGGGTGGGCCTATTGGTAAGAAGGGGGCAACATCGACATGAAAATTAATCGGTATTGCCGATATCTTCTGAGGCAGCGCGCAACGGCAAACACTAAGTAATATGAATTGGCGGCGATGGATGAGGATGAGGACGGGGCAAGAGAGAGAATGGGGGCAAGAGAGAGAATGGGGCAAGAGCATGTCACGGCAAGCGTTTGGAGGAAGTTTGATTGTTTCTGAGGCGCGATGGAATATGAATGAGGGGGTGAGAGAAGGGAGGGGGTGAGAGAAGGGAGAATGGAATGTGAATGTAGTAGCTTAAGTTTGGGTAATGAAAAATAGAGATGGAGGTTACAGTCTTGCCCCGAACACAACGCACCCTGTTTCTGAATGTATACAAGCGATAAGGACGGTCCGATACAGCCATGTTGAGGGTGCGTTGTGTTCGGGGGAAGATGTTTGTGCTGTCCGTCTTGGCCATGCCGATAGAAGAAACAGCACGTAGATTCTCCTTTCCACGATACCCACTTATTCTCTACCGCTCTTGTATCTATCAAAGCACGGATCTATCAAAGCACAACTGGGTCCCAGGAGGTGAGGCAAGTCATCGTGTGTGTGTGTGGGGAGAGAGAGAGAGAGAGAGAGAGAGAGAGAGAGAGAGAGAGAGAGAGAGAGAGAGAGAGAGAGAGAGAGAGAGAGAGAG